AGGCTCAAAATGTTCTAGATGTACCAGCAAAGCAAAAACGACTTTTAGGACGGGTGGGACCTGCCAAACCTGTAGATATCATCTCCAATCTTCTTCTAGTGTTCAGACACGCTATGTGCTTCTAAAGAATGGTCTTGCATCTGACTCATCATCCTCTCTTCAGAATACTGAAGATGGAGGGAAAGCATCAAACCACCCTTGCTATTCAGGTTTCTGTTTTCTCCTCACATGTGGGAAGTGACTGAACAGGTAAAAGATGTCAGACTGGTAGATGACTTTGTATTTTACAAATTTTCGTCTCTGAATTCTTCGCATATACATTCACTGACAATATTGTAGTATGACATCCTCTGCGTCAGTGATTAAGCAACACGAACAGGCAGAATGTTGGTATGATGCATAAACGAAAGAGAGGCATTTAATTGATTTCATATTTCTGTATATTTCTGTAGCTTATCACAGATATTGCTTGATGTGAGCTGAGTTCAAATGCCATTCATATAATCAGCAGATGCACGTTAATCATTTTTTGTTAGAATCTTATTTCCATATTAATAAATGTCTTCTCTATTTTAGTGCGAAAGAGAAAGATCACAGTATCCTGTTTATTAGATTATCACGGTGAATCATTCTCTCTGTCACCAAAGCCATTCTCAGTTTACGAAATTGGGCAAAAAACAGCAGTATAATAACAACGATATAAATCCAAGGAAAGAGACAGAATCACAACAACAGCTCCCTTTGTGTGAAGGATGCACCAAAGAAATACAGCAGATATATAATATAAAGTCATTTAAATAAGCCTGAGGTTTTTCTGCGCTGTTGTGGTTTACAGATCCTCTCTGTGATCTTAGCTTTAACACACAGTAGAGTGCGACGTGCTGATTTCCACCCTTTAGCGCAAGCCATGCAATTATGCTAAAGCCGTGATTTAAATGGCCAGACGTGCACACACACATACGTTCTTCTATCACTGTAGGGACTTTCCATTGCCTTCTATAGTTCTTATTCTGAGATAGTAATATTTTCTCTCCCCTATTCCTAAAGGCCCCACAAATCTATTAGCATTTTTACCTTATCATTAAAGCATTATTTAGCATGCACAGTAGAGGAAAGAGTTTGCACAAAAATTTAAATTCTGTCATAATTTACTCCTCTAATCTTTGTGTCATTCTAAGCCCATATGATTTCCTTTATTTCATGGAACACAAAAGGAAAATTAAGCTTCTAAGTGTCAAAAAGGATGCAAAAGCACAACAAAAGTAGCTTAAATGTGGCCCCATTACAAAGCAAACTATATACCAAATCTTCAAAAGTCATACAATAGCTTTGTGTGAGACATAACCTTTAGACAATAAACCTTTAAGTCTTTAAACCTTTAAACTTTGACAATTCTTTTGAGTCAGACCTTTTCAATTAATTGGTTAATCCAGTTATGAGTCATCACTGGAGGGAACAATGAATAATGACTTAAATGTCTGTCTGTTCATTGCACAAGAAGACTTGTCATGTAGTGCATGAGTATAGGCCTATATGAACCACTTTTATGATACTCAACTGTCTTCAAACTCTATTCACTGCACTGTTAGAAAGTCATTCTGATTTGCAGTGACATAAAGCTAGGTAAGTAATGACAATTTTTAATTTTTGGGTAAACTGTCAATGCAGTCTGTTTTCCTTTTGTACACGATTTCAGGTGTTACTATCCTTATGGGGATATTTGGTCCCCCACACACAAATACAAATTCACACTGTGGAGGAATTCCAGTTTATAAATATATCTCAATGCAACAGTGCTGGATTGACCCGTTAACATTTATAAATATAATGGCAGAATGAATGAACAAAAACACACAGGAGGTCAGAAACCAGTGTGTGTAACCCAGGAGCAGCTTCCTCTCTGAGGGCACAAGGCAGTCATTCACTGAGCCTTCAAGGGCCAGTGTCTCTCATACACACATACAAACACACACACACATATGCCAAGGGGTAGAGTGGGGGACCATGGAGGGTCTGGAGTGGTCTCTTTTACAGACGTCCATTCACACACGCACACAGGAGCACAGTGGCATGCATACGCTCATGCACACATACACAGACAGCTATCAGGAGCCGTGAATGAGCCTCCTTCACTTACAAGCCTCTAGCTCTTTTCTCTATCGTCACTCTCCCCTTAGTCAGGTCCTTACAGAGCAAACTGGAGCACAGCTGTTACTCAATGAGGGACATCTGGATTGAATACTACCCATTAAATACCCTCAGCAACCAACAGACCAGCAGAAAAAAAAATAGACAGAGAGGCACTAAAGCAAAATCTTCATAAGAAACCCTAACACTCTTCCTTGTAAGATAAGAAAGGATTTCATTAAAGATACACAGCCAGACAGTGACTAAAATGATCTATCTATCTATCTGATCTAATATCTATTATCATTTCTATTACCTTTTTTTTTATTTCAGCATCAAGATTCTAAGTTCAATTTACATGTATAAGGAAAGGTGTATATTTTGGGTCCTGGCCACCATTTATTGAAAGTTTTTCACCAATATTAATCAAATACACAAGTTAATTTTAAAAGGTCCTGCGGTGTGACAAATGTATTTTTACTACAATTAATATGAGGACACAAATGCATATACAATCATAAATATATAATCAAATAAGAAGGTGAAAATACTATTTAAAGGGATATTTCACCAAAAAAAAAAAAAATTTGTCATCAAACATTTTGTCCTCTTTTGTGTTCTGCAGAAGAATGTCAGCCATACAGGTTTGGAATGAGGTGAGGGAGAGTAAATTATGAGACAATTTTTGGGGTGAATTTTCCCTTAAAAATAGTTTTAGATGAATTATAGCATGTCAAACCGCAGGACACTGCTACAGTTTTATCTATATTTATCTACTTTTGTTTATCTATCTGACAACTGCATCTTCATTAAGGAAGTATGATATATATTTAGTTATAAAGTTGATCATTTATAGTCTATCAACCACTTTGTACTGTAGAAAATAGTATTTAGGCTTAGGTAGCTCATAAGAGGCTACAGAATACGTCTCCTGTCTGTCTGTCCATCCACACAAGACCTTAAGATGCTGCTGCTGCTTCCCTGTTAAAATAAAGTTCAAAACTGTTCCATCTCGTCTGAGCCGCATAATAGTGACATTTGTGATGTCTTTTTCTGTCTCTCTGTGATGGGATTAAAAGAACCTCATCATGAATGTGTGTCAGTAGAAGCATTAGCCACAGTAGTGTCTGAATCACTGTGGAAACTGCAGAAGTGTCCTGGGCTCCTAATGGATCATATGCACATGGAACACCATGCTAGAGTCAAGTGAAATGCATTAACAACCAAACATTACTTTTCTACTGACCTAATTAAAGGAATATGTTATGCAAAAATGAAAATAAAGTCTTCATTTACCCACTCGCATCGCTCCAAACCTGTATGACTTACTTTCTTCCGTGGAACACTTTAGGAATAATGCACTGGTCGCTCTTTTCCATGGACTGAATGAAGTCTGTATTCGTTTTTGAGACCACTTTTAATAATAGTATACTTTTTTTCCCCACACATTTTGATTTTAGAGCTCAACCGCTCCAATAGTCATTTACTTTTTAAAGGGGTCATATGATACGATTTCAAGTTTTCCTTTCTCTTTGGAGTGTTACAAGCTGTTCGTGAAGAGATAAGATCCCTAAAGTTGCAAAGACTAAAGTCTCAAACCATTTCCGTCACACGCTTGAGGAATTCGTCCAATCACAACGCACTGGATAGCTGGCCAATCACAGCACACCTCACTTTTCAGACCGATGAGCTTTGTAAAAATCGACGCGTTTCAGAAAGGCGGGGCATAGAGGAGAAACAATAATGTACCGTATGTGGAAAATAATGTGTTTTTTGAACCTTAAACCACATAAACACATTTCATTAGACAAAATACACAAAGTAATGTTCTTTTTAGCAACATCATATGACCCCTTTAATATATTAAGCTGGGATATTCTCAAAGCAATTCACCTTCAGTTTTCCATGGAAAAATAACATTTTGGTTTGGAACAACATGATGGGGTACTTTTTTATTTATTTATTTAACTTTTTTTTTTTTTTTGCATGTCACAGTTTTGTTGTGCAATTTGTTTGCCCCAAGTAAACTCATATACACCTTTTATCCAACAGTAGCCTAATATAACATTATCTGTCAATATCACCTAAGATGAGGTAGTGTTTTTGTTTTTCGTTGGCATGATTTGATCATTCAGATACTTTCAGAATAAACAACAAACACAACGTGACGGTAGCCTATACGGAATTGGTTCCCCACTAAATTAGTTTTCTTACTCTCCTACTTTCTGTGCCAGGCAAACTCGTCGATTGTGTTTCTGGCTTCCAAACAGAAAGCAAATATACCACGAAGTCCAATAACTTGAGCATCTTGCTTCGCCGGCTGTGGCCGGACACGAGAAACAGGATGAAGCGATCCGTGGGCGTGGTTTGGAATTGTTGTATGGGCATGGTTTGGTTAACAGGATGATTACGGCGTGTGGGCGTGGTTTGAATAAATAACATTAACGAAGACCTCCCCCCGTTCCCCAAAGGTCCGGTTCAAGTTGGAAAGTGCCCCTATCTGTGTGCAGCTGGGCAAACTTCACAGCTTGAGAACTCCTGCCCTTGTTTATGTTTAATTTGCAGCACAACATCCCAGACATGTGTGACAAATAAACACACAAATAAACTGAACAAACACCTTCATATATACATAGCCTACATAGGCTATATATAAAGCATACATATGTAATAAAAGCATAAGCATATATTTATCTTATCTAGTAATAATAACAAAACGAACTTTATAAGAAATTATTATTTACATTTCATAATATGAGCACAGGAAAAAGTATTACAAAATTCTTAAGACATTCGCAACTTAAGACAGATTCTGCACATTTTCCCTCTCTGCTACTGTTCATAATGATGGAAGATGCGGAGGTTTGACGTACCACATTGGATAAGAAATCGCTCTCATTCAGATCCTCTAGGTCCAACAGGTTGGAATTGGGAAAAAGTTTGTCCGAAGCGAAGTTGTCCAATATGGTGTCCATATCGGCTGTGAATAATAATAATTAAAAAAAGGCTAGGAAAACAATAACAATATCTCAAAGGTTGCAGAACTGTTGAAATCCAATTCAAAAATCGCAACCAGTAATATGTGTGACTTAAGCGACGTGCGCTCGTCTGCACTGTCAAGTCGCCTTCATGCACTGAGCGTCTATAGTCTGCCCATTTACACTTCTCTGGAAGTGTCGGATAAATTGGACGTGATTAAAGCGGAGTGGCCGTGCGTGTTTCTTCCAAAGCTGTCTCATTCATCTGCGTTGAGTCTCTAAGGGGTAACTAGACTGATACATATTTAATGTTGTCTCCGCCCAACTCTCGCTCTTTGCGCCCAATGGTAACACCCACATTTCACTTCATTTAAAGCGACGGCGCATTGATTTCCGAGCGCTTCAGCCATTGACGCACAAGAAAGACTGAATCCATTACAGTAACAGCCTTGGCTGCCTAGTAGGCAAACCTGAATTCCACTTTTAAAAGTAATAGTAAAATGTTTTCATGACCTCAAAATACCTAGAAATCCTTCCTGATGGAACAGAAACTAATTTAGTCATGTTGAATTCATGCAAGATGCTTTAATGGAGGAGATTATAATGAATCTCAAATAAACTCCAAGTTGATCACAAAGGGCAAAAATGCGAAATTGAATTTATAATACAAGAGGAAACATGTAAATACATCGAATAACGTCATAGGTCTTGATGTATTTGTTAAATTCTTTGCTCCACAGTTGCAATAACAGTCTCAAATGTGAACTGGCCTAAATGATCTCATCTTTATGTCATACATAACCAAAGATGACATTCAGGTGTTGACATTAAAACCAAATCGTATAATAGCAGATAAATATAAATATGTGATAATGCTGTTTTGGAGGAGTGCTGTAAGACCCCACATAGAGAGTGTGATGTCTTCTGTTAGTGATGTCTTCTGGATTATAAAGTACAGAGGGATTGTTTATGAAATTTGAACCATTAAAAGGCAGTGGACCAGGCATCGATTTAACCTTTAAAGCGTGCATTCTTCACGCAACCTATTTTTCATCATTTTGAATGACAAATGATCTCTGTCTGATTGGATCACTTTCCAGTTATGTAATTGCAGTAAATCAATTCACTATAGGGGGATAAGACACACATGAGTGGAAGAAGATTCAGTGTCTGATTACATAGATTGATTCCACTGAATAATTTCACTAATTTGGCGCCTCACTCTCCTCTTTTAGATTATTTGCTCTTGTCTGTGGAGTGCTAAGAGTCAGTTCAAGTGATGAAAAATCATTTCTGATCAAGTGTGCAGGGTTCACACAAGAGTTTACAAGGATGCAACCTAATACTCAGAAATTCTTTCCTCATTGGCAGTTTTCTCACCAGTAACTTTACCTCAGGTACTGTTACAGATCTCTTTCCTACTTTTTCTCTGTCTTTCTCTTTCATTCAAGGTGCCCTAGATTTATAGAAACCTGCTCTTCAATAATGGAATTTCTATTTGCAGTGAAAGGTGTCATTTTTCAATTCAAACATTACATATGATTACAAAATGATTTTGTGTTATGTAACTCCAAGCAGAGTCCAGTTGTTTTTCAGCCCAGTGAAAGTGGAAATATCTATACCTGTTATGAATTACTCAAGGCTGTTGATGTTTATGTACCAAGGTGATGTTAGCTCAAGGATATAATGGTGATAGGGTTGTCTCAGCAAGTCTCTAGTTTACAGGTTTCCCTTACCTGGGATTGTACCTGTGTCATTTTCATTGCAGTCCAAGGGCTTAGCCATTATATATGGCCCTGGACCACAAAACCAGTCATAAGGGTCAATTTTTTTAAATTGAGATGATGATCAGCAAGAATCTTGGTCCATGTGTGACTAATATCCTGACTGATACCGGACACACATCAATACTGTTTTACTTGTTTTCTTCATTCATCTTCAAGAGAAATATAAATAATTCACACAGAAATATCAGTGAAAGAGTCCCATGTGTGATCAATGACCAATAACCTACCACACTGTAGTACTCTAAAACGTGCATGTGATGCAGGTGAACTGTGATATTTTGAGCTAAACTGCATCCTCCTTATTTCCACAGATTAAGAATCTTTCTGACGTCAAACAGCCTGTAAACACTGGAGAGCTCTCTCTCTCTTTGTAGTTGTCGTGGTAACCCTCACACCTGGTCAGCTCTCCTGTCCCTATGGTTTTTATGGTCATGTGAAGCTTCCGTCCTCCCCCTGCGCAATAAACACACACACACACACACACATACACACACACACACACACATACGCACACACACACACACACACACACACACACACATGCCATAAACAGTATGTGGAAGGTGACATGCTGGAAAAACACCATAAAGCAAAGCAACCATGAGGTTTCACTTTATTTACTGTCTTGTGTCTCCACATGGTCTGCAAATTCCAACCCCCCATCCATATCCCCACATACGCCTCTCCGATCAGCAGCTTTTCAGTCACGCTGTGATGTTCGCTGTATACAATACTGTTAAATATACTATTACAATCTCAAAAGTGTCATATAAACCAGCTCGAATGACAATTCTAGGGAAACCACTGAAATGACATCACGGTATCAGAGAGTAAAATGACCCTTTGGGTTAAGTATATGGTTAAATACAATGACAATGGTGAAATCCCTTTGTGTTTAACTAAAGTTTTGAATAGATTTTCTCACTTTTCAACTCTCAAAAGATTTACTTGTTTTCCATTTTCACTAGTTTCAAAGTGTGTAATTTTTTAAGTTAAAAATACTTTCTCCTAACTCAAGGCTTAAAGGGTTAGTTCACCCAAAAATGTAAATTCTGTCATTAATTACTCACCCTCATGTCGTTCCAAACCCTTCAGACCTTCGTTCATCTTTGGAACACAAATTAAGATATTTTTGATTAAATCCAAGAGCTTTCTGACCCTGCATAGACAGCAAGGGAACTACCACATTCAAGGCCCAGAAAGGTAGTAAGGACATTGATAAAATAGTCCATGTGACATCAGTGGTTCAACCGTAATTTTATGAAGCTACAAGAATACTTTTTGTGTGGAAAGAAAACAAAAATAACAACTTTATTCAACAATTCTTCTCTTCCATGTCAGTCTTCAACTGGGTCACCTAAATACCCAAATATTGTTCCAAAACTATAAGATTTTCTTCTTTGGAATACAAAACCAGATATTTTGAAAAATGTCAATGCAATGAGAGTCATTGGTGTCCAGTGTTATTTTGGACTCATTTATCTTTGATTGTATGGAAAAAAAGAGTTGAAACATTCTTCAAAAGATCAATAACTCAGATCTATAATAAAAGCACGAGGTTGGGTAGAGATGATATTTTCACTCAACTACTGGCAGACAGGGGAAGTGTTTGAAAAATCTGCTTGGGAAACCTGTTTGAAAAGTCATAATTTTTGACATTCTGTTTAGTGTCAAAAATGGTGCCAAAAACATACACACTTCACCATTATCGAAGGTTCGAGTTTCGCTATTCTGTTTTCATAAGGGTGATAATGGCATTACAATTGTGTGACGGAAATACCTGTGAATAAGAAAAAGAATGAGGAAGAGAAATTCAGAACGAGTTGTTGAAAAAGCTTAATTTTCACTTCTCAGAAAGCAATATCTATGATTTAGGGTACAATAGTCCACAACAGATTGTTTTTATGAGCACTATACTTGCTTATAACACACCCACTAAAACAAGAATTACAACACTAAAAAGATTACAACATCACTGTACTGGTTTAGCTTATCAGGTCAATTTGAGGAGTCTGTGATGTCTGCAGTGCTACTGGGGGACACCGGTGAATGTGGGAACAGGAAATAAAGGTGAACAGTGAGTGACGTGACATGTGGCCAAGTATGGTGACCCGTACTTGGAATTACTGCTCTGCATTTAACCCATCCAAAGTGCACACACACAGCAGTGAACACACACACACTGTGAACACACACCCGGAGCAGTGGGCAGCCATTTTTTCCTATGTATTGAAGGTGGGAGAGAGCGCTGTACATTCACTCCCCCCACCCACAATCCCTGCCGGTACGAGACTCGAACCCGCAACCTTTGGGTGTCTCCGACTCTCTAACCATTAGGCCGCGACTTCCCCTCGTCAATGCATAATCCACTCAGGCTTTCTTTTATCTTAATTAACCAATTAGATGTCTGACTAATATGCTTACTGCTCCGCTAAAGCTAATGTAGCCAAGGTGTAAGGTTATGGTTGTGCGCTGTTTGCAGGTCTGTGAGGGGTGAGTTGATGAGAGCACAATACAGCTGACAGTGGCATAAGTGTGTGACATCTCTGCTCTCGGTTCCCACAGCTTCATCTTATTCATTCATTATCTCCACTTCCTCCGTTCTTCATATTCTTCACTAATCATGCACAGCCATTTATGCTCACACGCATTGCTATCCAGAGGGCACGGGTGACACTGCAACGCACACCGCAAAGTGAAGGAAGCAGAGATGATCATCCCTTTTTCAAAAAGCACCGTTGAGCCTTCGCTCCATAATTACAGACTACAGTGCACACTCTGAGTGGGATGTGATTATAGCATTACTCTCTGTGTCTCCGTGTGTGTGTATGTTATGGTTGAGGGCCAGAACTCTTTGCACCTGTGTCACCCTAAACACAGCAAAGTCACTCAGTTATGTAGATAAACACTAGAATAATCAAGATCTCCTGTCAGGTGAGAGGTTAACCCCCACAGGACTCAAATGAGGTTTTCCAAATCTTCCTAGGGTGGACACCATGCACAAGTATTATAGGAACACCACATCAAGCTCATCTTGGACTCCAGACTAAAGCAAAGTGAGGCAGGTAAATACACAAGCTATTTTCTTAGGGCTATCAAAGTTAATGTGTTAATTATAATATATTATTAATATATTAATTTAATATGTATTGTAAAATGTAAGTGAATATTAAAAATATGTTTACCTTCAGGTTTACAATGGGGGCCAAAATTATTAGAACACTAGCATTTGCACCAGCTAAAATA